GACTTCTTCCTGCTGAAGCACAGTTTGTAAACGAAGCTAAACTGCATCTTATTTTTGTGCATTTTTACTCTAACGTTTGTCTAAATCGGCATCAAACTCACTCTAAGTGCAGTAATGGCTCTAAAACTCAGTAAAAGTTTTAGTGTCAGAGGATTAAAAACACTCCAAACTGCTCGTATCAGTGATCAGGTGTGTGAACGAGAAGCCCCGCCGCTGCTTATTTTTGTGCATTTTTACTGTAAAAGCAGTGGAACCCTAATAAAAGCTGAGCAGCTTGTGCCTCTCCGGGCCTCTGCTGGATGGCAGACTTGTAAACGGGGGCCTTGCCGGGTCTTGGTCGGGCAGGTTTTATGACCAGCAGCTCTGTCATTGCTCCACACCGTCCTCCTCCTCCTCCTCGCCAGCTGTTTCCCTCCGGAGGCTCGCGGCGCTCCCAGCACTTTAGCAAACCGGAGGAGGGATGCTGCCGTCTCGTTTTTTTTTTTTTTCTGTGTTGTTTACGGTCCTGTCAGTAAGAGCAGAGTCGGGTCTCTGCATTCTTAAAAAAAAAATTACAGAGCAGCAGCAGCTCCGGCTCCGGGTGAAATAAATCAGCTTGACCTTTAGCACCAGACCTTTCATTAGGGAATTCCAAGCTAATTGCTTTACGATTTCATTGGGACCAGAAAGCATCCCTGAGTGGCTTCGGCTCGACCTTTCGGGGAGGACTGTATTGACTCAGCAGAGGGGATCCTCCGCCGCCGCTCTGACCTCTGGTTCGGTTCGTCAGATATCACAGATCTCTGAAGCCGCTTTACTGTTTCCTGCTGTAAAGATAATTGCAGATGTTTCGGGGACGGGGTGGGGGCTGGAAGTCAACAAGATTGTTTGGAGCTCGCCATAAATTTCCACAGAGTCGTCCGACTTTTAACAAGCTTCGTGTCACCTGGAAGCCGGGGCCCCTCCTCCTGCCGAGGTGTGCACGGGCGCACATTCCTGGCGACAGGATGCCGCTTGGGAGCGCGTGCTTCGTAATTATACGCATAAAGTAATTGTTCCCGTGTTATTGTCGGTGCTCCCCATTCTCAGGCTCCTGAATGCCGTCAGTCTGCAACTGTTGATGCCTTGTGCCGCCGGTGTGTGAGAGGCAGGGCGTTTTTACGGGGCTCTTTTTTGTAACTTGCCTGCAGGCCTGTTGTTGTAAATCATGTGTGATTCATAAAAAAACTGGTTCTCCTGTCTGCCAGGTTTCATCTCCACAAACCTCAGAGACGTACAAATAGACTTTGGCCCGCAGCCATACCTCCCTGGAACTTCTTCCTTTACCAAACTGCTCTCCTGTCAACACTCGCGTCCCTCCCCCACCTCGCCGGCTTTGCCTCCCTCCCCGGCCGCTGCCTCTGCCTCTGCGCGGGCCGATGATGTTGTTTTCTTTGACTGTCCTCCATGGGAAGTACCTGGCAGCGGATGCATGTGGCAGGATTCTGCCTGGACACGTCCGTCTCCCCCCTCTCTTCTGTCTCCACGGCCACGCAGCGTGAGAACGGCAGTAACCATGGCGATGGAGGAGGCGTGCTCGGGGTTGGCTAGGATTTAGGCCTGAAAACCTCCGAAGTTCAGGAACATTAGCTCAACAGAACATCTTCATCGTCATTGTACGTGAACGAAATCATATGCAAATCGCTCTCAAGTGCAAAACAAGCAAAGAGCATCAGTCTGAGGTTTAGAAAAACAAACAAGTAAACAAAAAATGCCTCCAGAAACTAAAAAAGTATGATTTTAAAGGTCCAACATGGTGGAAAATTCATCTTTCTATGTTTCGTGCTTGTTCCTCGGAGCTTCAGCAAAAAAAAAAAAAAGGCAACTGGACTTATCGTTTTTTAGGTTTGTGAAGCTTTGAAGAAGAACTTTCAGCCGTGATGAGCAGGAATCCACACAAACAGATTTTGTGGTCGGAGGCGTAAATAAAAGCTGCCGAGATGAGCTGTAAAAAATAAATGGCTGACAGTCTGGTACAAGGGTGCCAGGAAAAAATGTTGTTGAACAAAATCAGTTAAAAATTACTTTAAATTGTATTTACCTTTTTCAGTCTTTAATATACGTAATCTCTCTTTTAAATGATTCAAAATATCTGCAAAATGTGTGTTATTAATTTAAATACAGTAAAAAAAAAAAAAGTGTAATTTTCTGGTCACACATTGAAAAAAATAATAATGATAATTACAATTTGAACATAAATACTTCTTTCAGTAATTTTAGTCGTTTTCTGTAATTTAGTAGAACATGAAAAATGTGTTTAATAACAATTACATTCTTTAAAGACCTTTTAAATTCTTAGTATACATAATTCTTTCAAATAATGGCAGGTATCTGTCAAATAATTATTTTTTACTGAACTAAACACAGTAAGAAATTGTGTAATTCAACGGTGACATCTTATGAAAGAACAAATTCCCATTTGTAAATTTTTTTTTGATGATTTACAATTTTTTTTTTTTGTAAATGAAAACTTTTTCACCATGATTATACGAGTTACTATCTGTATTTAAAGAAAACAGAGAAAATCTTCAAAATAACCCCAAATTATTTAATTGATTAGCGAACTAACCAAAAGTCGTGCAGCACTCTGTGACAGAGGCAGAGAGGGTTTTCTTCCTGAAGGCGGCAAATCATCGGTTTACAGGGCAAAACAGCCTGTTTGGAACCAGGGCTTATGTGGTTTTGGTGAAATGAACCATCTGTGCAATATTTTATAAAGGGTCATATTTTGTAAAAGGGGCACAACATGGGACCTTTACAGTCAGTTAAAGGTGATTGTAGGAGGTGACAGTTTGTGTTTTCTTTCTCTCTGCAGGTGTTTTAAAGCATCACCACTGAACCATGTGGTAACTCTCTCAGCTCGACCCAGAAGACGCTGAGCAACACTTTGAGCAGCTGACCTCATCCACAGTCTTCTCCTGCAGCAGCTGCCCTCATGGCCCACCCCTACGAGCCCTGGTTACGGACGGCGCCGCCTAGTGGCAGCTCAGAAGACATGAACATCCCGTCCTGGTGGGACCTTCACAGGGACGTGCAGCCGGGCAGCTGGATAGACCTGCAGACGGGACAGGGTGTCGGTTTGCCCTCGGTGAGTCCGGGCAGCTCCATGGGGCTGCAGTCGTCTTTAGGGCCGTACGGCTCCGACCCACAGCTGTGCACGCTGCCTCCAGCTCAGCACGCTCCGGCCTCGCACTCGTCCCACCTCTTCCCCCAGGACGGCTTCAAGATGGAGCCGCTGGCGCCTGAGATGCTGCAGCAGGAGACGTTCTCCTTGGAGGAACCTCAGGAGACCTCGGTGTCGGCTCGCCCCAAACCCCAGCGCCGCTCCTCCTCCCGAGGCGCCGGCCAGGCCGTGTGCCGCTGCCCGAACTGCGTCCACGCCGAGCAGATGGGCCAGAGCACCGACGACAGCAGGAGGAAGCACATGCACAACTGCCACATCCCCGGCTGCGGCAAGGCCTACGCCAAGACCTCCCACCTGAAGGCCCACCTGCGATGGCACAGCGGGGACCGGCCATTCGTCTGCAACTGGCTCTTCTGCGGGAAGAGGTTCACGCGCTCAGACGAACTGCAGCGCCACCTACAGACGCACACCGGCGCCAAGAAGTTCAGCTGCGCGTTATGCCCTCGAGTGTTCATGCGCAACGACCACCTGGCCAAGCACATGCGCACACACGAGTCGCCGCCAGGGCACGGCGAGGAGAGGGTGAACGGAGACGGGAGGATGGATAAAGGCTTCGATGCAGCGACGCCTCCGCAGTCGTCCTCAAACGTGTCCGACGGCGCTGAGCCACCGCTGAAGCTGAAATGTGAGACAGACCCTTCGGTGTCCAGCGTGACAGGGCAGTCCGGCTAATTTCATCAGTTTCAGAAGACGAAGGGTTAAAAATCTGGTCTCCTCTCTGTCGGAGAGGAGTCATAGTTTTACAGTAGAAGAGTAGAGAGTAGAAGAAAGTCTGGGACAAACTTTTACAGATGAAAGCTGGATGGAACAAATATTCATCTATGGTCCTGTGAATTTACCAACTGGGTCATTATCTCAGTGATGTTATAGCAGAATGAGTACAGGAAGTCTTTCCTCTGAAAAGTGAAACGGTGGCGAAGGAGGCAACGTGCTGTTGCTGGACTTCCATTGCTGCTAGAGCTACAACTACCAGAAGACCAAGAGACTGGATGAGTTGATCAGAAAGTGTCTTGTTGACTTGTTTACAATGAAATTAATCAAATGTGTGGAAGCGAAGAGTGGTTTAAGTGAACTACTTTAAAGGAAAGGAGGCCGTGATTACGTTTTCTTTATGTTTTAGACTGTCACCACATGTGTGCAGCCTACTGTACTGGAAGATAATAACATCTGTAAAAGGTTAGAAGCCATTTGGAGGGGCGATACCAGTTAAAATGGTGTTACTGCAGCACCACAATTATAATATAATAAAGAAATGGGAGATCCATGCACTATAAATGCTAGTATTTACCAAACCTGGTGTGCTTCCACCACCACTGATCTCACAGTAGGAGAATGTGAACAGGTGTTCAACGTGAAACACCACAAAGCAAAGAACCACTACAGCGATGTGAAAAACTCACAATTAACAAAAAAACAAAACCGTGAACCTGAACAGTGAAGATTCCTGTCAGGTGAGGAGATGAAGCCGGACATGGACAGAAAATGCTGGCGGGTTAAATGAATCCAGGCTTCTGTCGGGACACGCTGAGACAGCAGCCACAGCTGGCAACAAAATAAACACACATTATCCACATTATCCAGCCTGTCAGCGCTACAAGCTGCTGCCATTGAACAAAACCTCTGGCACGAAGCTACACTTCATTAGGAAGATTAATCCAGAGCCCTGCGCAGCCCCAAGATTTAAAGCTGCACTTAATATTTTTACAGTAACAATGGATCGGTATGTAATGTGAAAGACGTGCCTTGTGGAGGTTTGTCACTCAGCTCTGCTTCCTGTTTTCGCATCTTTTAGCGCATTGTTTTGGTTTTCTGGCCTTCTCCGGTCACATCGGCCACATTTCCAGCTGCTGGCAGCTGCTTCGAGCAAAAAAACACTTCTGATGAACTCACTTTAAACTTACTAGCCTGCATCAAACACAAGAGAGGCACAGCTAACAGCTAGCTAGTTAGCATTTACACAGATGAGCCAAAACAGTAACAAAAAAAGCCTGATTTAGGGTGTAAACATTTCTGATATCAAAATGTTGTCTGATATTTAATGACGGGGCCGTTGGTTTCTGCTCTGCTACCAGTGCTGCACACAGTGTTGCATGTTGTATACAATAAAGTTGGAGCTACTGCTGGATAAACGACGTGTTAACACCAATTCTAAATTAACCCAAGCATCTTTCTCTGCAGTATGTTTGGTAAAAAACAAACTTCATATCGGACAACGTATGCCGACATCAGTATATCTTTAATTGGCCAATATTAGCCAATCGTAGCACTCAACTGACACATCAGTCAGGCTCTGATCACAACCACAGACACTGATCATTTCACTACAGTGCAATGTTTTATTTGGAAATCTTAGACCTGGCATTCTTTAACTTGTACCACCTACATAAACATGTCCTCATGGTAGCAACTTCCTCCAACAGGACATTGAACCCTGAAAAATGCAAAAAGGGCTTCGGAATGGCTCGAGGAACACGACAAAGAGCACAAAGGTGTTGACCAGGCACCAAAAGTATCTATGAGAAGCCTGATTCACGGAGAACTCACAGAACTTGACTTGTCAGAGCTGTTTGACAGAAAAATATTTGGCAGATAGTTTTAATGTTGTGGCTCATTAGCGTAGCAGCATCTGTAAAACCTGACATTTTACAAAGAAGTCGATGGAGATTAAAACAGACCTAAAAGATGGACCTCTATTCTTCAGATGACCAAAAACGTAACTCCAAACAAATGCTAACGGAGCTGCTGGACGTGTAACAAGGGAGTGTTAACATGTTCACCGTAAAGGTGAAAACACAGTCATAATATGTAAATGTCATGTTTACAGGTTGTTCTGCTGCCCCCAAGAGGACAAAAATGAAAGAAAACCCAGAACAGAGCGGCTTAATGATATTGGAACACGATGTTCATGTCATAAATGTGCGAAAGAAAAACATAAAATTGGCTCCAAATGTCGAGGCTGTTGTGAAATCAGAAGATGTACCGAACGATACCATCCAAGTTTAGCTCATTAAGCGGCTTTATCTTCCAAATATCATCAGCCCCATAACCATTTGCGTGTCGGATCAAGCTGTAACCCAAGTTATCAACAAAGAATGTGTGAAGTGCTTATCTCTCATCACATTTTATTAACAGCTGTTGGTGCGTCTGAGCTGCAGTTTTTATGCGTTCGCCGACAAATAATTCAGACGAAACAGTTTGTTGAAACATGAGCACCGGAGAACGGCTGCGTCAGCAGTCTAGGAAGTGAAATAAAATGCAAATGAACGACTCACGCAGAAATTCTTTAGTTGACGTGTTTTGGATAGTGAACTTTCATAGTCGATATTGTACGATCGATAGTTCTGTAGCAAGCAGCTTTACACCACTATTAGGATGTATGTAAACCATCACAGACGTTAGGCAGATTTCTATATATTAGGGAGCTCGCATTACTGCCGGCTCATGATTTGCTGTATTTATGTATAGACAATAAGAAATGGAAGACAGTGCTTAAACAGTAGTCAATTATTGTGTATTGACTATTATTATTATTATTATTATTTTGATGTTCTTATAGATAGGCTTATAATATGTCCTGTTATGGACAAGTTTTTAAACTGGTTGCTGTAGTAAATGTCTTAGTTGTGGAGACTGTAATAAAGTAAGTTCAAAACCTTTTAATAAGTTAAATATCATGGTGTAATAACTTGTATTTAATCTATTATTGTTCTTTATTAAATAAAAATATATGTATATGCTGTGTTTGTGTCTAACTTTTATTTACAGAAGACTGATTTGCGAGCTATTATGTGAAATTTAAATTTGTGCTTAGATTGCAGATAAAGTTACAGAAAATATGATGTTTTTAGAGCCTACAAATATTCAGAAACAACGCTTCGGATGAGTCTACATGTTTGTGTTGTTTTAATGCAATAGTCGCAATAGTTGAGGTGAAAAATAATAAAACAAAGCAATGATTGTTTTATTTTTTCAGACTTTTCAGTAATGCTAATCCTAGTTAAGCTGCCATCTTCAGTTTCTGGTGTAAATTTAGTTCAGAAACTGCGCTTGAATTTAAAGTGTTCAAAAAGATGAGGACTGTTGCGTTCAAGGTCAAGATTCCGTCACGAAGCACTGTCGGACTAACCATGTTAATAATTTAACAGGCAGAATGTAAGGCAGTAATGTAAATATTAGTTGGCAAAATACGTTACTTTTGATAGCGTTTGTACAACAACATAACAATTAGGAGTCACGGTATTTTCTTTTTCGATTACAATCAACAAAAACTAGCTAAAAAGCACCTGTAGAGTTGCAATGTCGGAGCTTTTCTCGGGCCCTGAAGGCACCATGAGCTGTCTCAAACAGGAAGTACACAGAACGCGTCACTCACGGGCCTCGGTGGCTCCATTTTCTTGCTAACGGTGAACTGTCGTTGTTACACGGTTTATATTTAACAGTCAGATTTCTTCTTTTTCATTTCTTGTTGGGCTGAAAAGAGAAATACTTCAAGATGGGAGGCGGCGACCTGGTAAGTACGAACTAAACGTGGCACGATAGGCGCTAGCGCCTCGGAGGGCGAGAATGCTAATGCCGAACTCCGTTGAGAATATGGAAGTTTAAAATGTTCCTTTACTTCGCGTCCCTTTTAGAGCGTTAACGATACGATTTCAAAGCTCTTGCGTATTGTTAATATCCACAGCACAATTCGGCAACACTAAGTTTAACTTGTGTCTCCTTATTTGTACATTTTATTTAGCTATGAGAGTCGAAATGAGCTAGCTTGCCTTAGCAAATCTAATCACAGAGGTGTCACAGTCACTTTTGAGAACTGAGATGACTTTTTAATAAATATTTTTTGCTTAGCGATTCATAATTTCAGTGCCGAACATACGTAAAGTTGTTAAAGATCACTAATATTCATTACGCCGAATGCTAATGCTGAACTCCATTCAGAATATGGGAGTTTAAAGATATTTGCTTACTTATCGTCACGTTTCGAGGTTTTACTTGAGAACTGTTCAGTTCAGCAATACTCAGTTTAACGTTGGTTCATTTGTTTTCACGGTGTTTTCAAGAGCTAGTGTGCTTTTGCTAAAGTGGTCCAGTTAAAAGTCCATTTCGAGAGTTCACGGGGAACGTTAATGCAGAACTCCATTGAGAATATGTCGATTTAAAGATATTTCTTCACTTTTCGTCACCTTTCAGAGCTTTTATAACCTAAGTTAAAAGCTTTTGGGCATTATTGAGGACAGCTGTTTAATTCAGCAAATCTCACTTGGGTCTCCCTATTCTTACATTTTAATAGCGATGAGTGTTGTAGAGACCTAGCTTTCCAGAGTAGATCTGATTACAGAAGTATGAGAGTCAGTTGTGAGAGTTGAGATATCTTTTTAGCGAATATTTTACTCGCTAACTGTTGANGTAAAACTTGTCAAAGTCGACGTGAAGCTGCCTCCTGGGAAAACTCAGCGAGCCTGAAGTGACACAGATTTATAGCATTTGTGTTTTACGACGTGAAAGGACTAAAAAACGCTCCTGAAAGCGGCCACGGTCACGAGACGCTGCGGTGAGACATGCAGCAGAGAGTGTGTTCTACGCCGCTGTGTGAGTGAGTCGGCGTCTCGCAGGTCGTCTTAAATCACTGAGGATGTTAAGCTGTCATCTATATCTAAACTATCAGCGCACTTAATCAAAGCGCACAGGAGCAGATTAGCAGAGCTCAGCTGTGCGTCTTCAGCTTTCTGTGTTAATCCTTCACTCGGTTTTAAAACTAGAATTCCATCTGAGCAAGCAGCACTTTCAGACGATTTTCCTCAGACTTTGCTCGCCACGCCAGTTTTTCTGTTTTTGTTTTTTTTTTTCACACCCAAGCCGAGCATTTTCTCACACATGGACAAAGTCGATTTTTGACAGAAATGTGACATCTGACAAACGGCCCGGCTCCACCCAGCTCGTACAGGTGAAGAGAAACGGCCTGGAAGCGCCACTTGACCCAAACTGGTCTCGCTGGAGCGCCGGGAGACGGGAGCTGGGGTTATTCTGGGAGAGACTGACTTCACATTTTGTCTAATTTTTCAAGCTGGATGTAACAGCAGGTTTGCAGTCTGATAGAGCTTCATTAGCAGGCGTCCAAGCCCAAAAGATTTGGTGATTTTGGGCAAACTTCTGAGTTACAACATGATATGACACAATAAATCCCAGAAGAAACATCACAATAAACCAGAAAATATACATAAGTACCAGTTCTTCCATATGTGGAGATCCAGACTGGCCAGATTCCTGCATGTGGAATAACAATATTGCACATAAATCATCCCTCAAACTGTGTTTATTTCTGTTACCAGGTAGTCGGACTCAAATAAAATCGTTACTGCTGCTTATTTTTGTGCATTTTTACTGTAAAAGTTGTCAAAATTGGCATAAAACTCTAAATTCAGTCGCTGATAATGACTCTAAAGACTCAGTAAAGTAAAACAAATTTAAATTTTCTGTGTCCTCCCACGTAAAAGGATTTAAAAAAAGCTCCTCTAAACTACGCTCATATCTGTTATCAGGAGGTCGAATTGGAATAAAATCCTCGATATGAGTTCTTTTTGCAGAATGAATGTGTAAAAGAAGCAAAGCTGCAGATGTTTTTGTGCACTTTTACTGTAGAAGTTGTCGAAATCTGCATGAAACTTTAACTACAGTCGCCAGTAATGGCTTTGAAAACAGTAAAAGTTTCTGTTTCCTCCCACGTTAAAGGATTAAAAAACCCAGGAAGATGAATTCCAATA